AACGTCTTCTACCGTAGTGTGGGGCATTGCAGAAAACGGGGGATAATGGGCAAAACGGGGGATAATGGGCTTCGCCGGAGTGGTTTTTTTCTACCGTGATTTGGGGGAAGAGAGGCGAAATATACGTCAAATTGATTTTGGGATTGATTTGGGTTTTGATTTATTTTTGGGAGGGATTTGGTATTAAAGTACCGTAATATTTAGTTTTAATTTTTAGTGGGGGTATATATGGATTTTCAAGTCCAATGGACTTATCTCAAAAATCATTAATTAATTATGGATTTATCAAGAATAGAAATCCCAATGGAGGGTGTTTGTCATATTCCCCCTATATTAAATGGACCATGAGTTATATGTTGCCTTGCACAACAAATCCCAATGATTTAGGATTCAATTTTCCGGAAACCCCTTTAAAAATTTATTTAAACGCACTATTTACATTAAATGGAGTTTAAGGGTGCATTTGGATGGATGGATATTGGGGAGGGATATTAAATCATAATAACAAATCCCTTGAACTTGTTTGGATTAAGGATTTCAAATCCCCACCCTTCATTTTGTGTTGATTTTGGAGCAAGTGGTGGATTTCAAATGACTCCAATTTGGTCTATTCTATGCTACACCCGGTGAACTTCACCGGGTATTTAAGATTTTGACATGTGGCATTTAATAATATAAATAGTTAATTATATAAAATTTAATTGTTAGCAAAAAAATTAAATCAATAAAATCGCTTTAATGTAGTTAATAAGATTTTCTCTCTCCAATTATTTATTTGTTATCAATTACCTCTCCATTTTTCGATTCAGGAAAAAAAAAATTTACTCCTCCATTAACTGTGTTCTACTATTACTGCACTTCTTCACTATTTTAATTTTTATTAAGTTCTTTCACGATAAATTGCACTGGGAAATAAGATCTTGGCTCTTATTTGTGAAATCTGACTTTGATAAATTTCTACTTCCGAGTCAAATATTGGTATGCTTGTATATCACTCAAAAATAAAAAATAAAAACAGACATTAATTTATCCAAAAATGGTTTTCCACTTATGCTTATGTTAATTTAATGGTAAAGTTTGCATTATCAATGTCATTTTAATTTCGTCATTTGGGTGGGAAACCACTGTTACATAATCTAAACAAATAATGGAGAAATGCATTATAATGGTGGAAGATGGTTAACGAATGTGTAATTGAAGAATAAGGAAAGAATTGGAGAGAGAAAATCATAATTGCCTATAATAAAGTGATTCTATTAATTTATTTATCTTCATATAATTAAAGTTACATAATTAACTACTTAATTATTAAATGCCACATGTCAAAATCTTAAGACATCCGGTGAAGTTCACCGGGTGTAGCATAGAATAGACCCTCCAATTTAGAGTAATTTCAAATCCCCTCTCCAAACCACTCCATCCAAATGGACCCTAAATGTTATATAAGTTTTTATAATTTATATATGATAAAAATATTTAAACATTTGTATTCTTAAGAATTTTTTTTTATTTTTTTATTATAACATTGTGTTATTAATGTTTAAATTTGAGTGTGGATGACGAATGAAATGAATCATTAAGTCGCTGTTTAGTGATCAATAAGTTATTCGAATTTGTTTCAAAAAAATATAACTTAATTCAAATTTTACTTGAATAAAACTGTCATTTTGAAATTACATAAAAATAAGTAAAAATGGAAAAGAAAAGGAGAATGGGGGTTAGGGGTAGTACACCCGAGTCCAACCGTACATTGGTCTGTTCATATTTTGAACCTTAAGATCAACAACTGTTTTTTTCTTTTTCCTTCGTTTTTTTGGAGAGAGATCCTTAAGATCAACAACTAAAACACATTGGAAAAGAATAAAATGAACCCAGTGATGCACACAATTTAACCTTGAATCTTCAATTAAACATCTAAAACACATAACTATTTATTTTATTTTTTTAAGCAAGTGATGGCCATTAGTTTGTGCCGGAGTCTATCAGACTAAGACCTCGTTTGATTTTCAAGATAAGATTAAATAATTTAATAAAAACTTAATTATTTATCGGACCCCAGAACGTTCAACAAAAAAGCTCCTTAAGAGGCAAGATAAAACAAGATAAGCCATGATAATATAATATTTGCGGGCCGACTCGGCAAATTATTGGGATACCAAACATCAAACAAAGTCATATTATTTAATTAATAATAACTAATCTCCCCGACCAATCGAGGCCTAACTGTACTAATATTTTATCATTGATGATAAAATAATGAAATCTTAAGGGCGTAACAAGAAAATGATAGCAATGACAGTATATAGTAATTTGATTAGCCTTTAAACATTACATACTAATTTGAACAAACAAATAAACATGCAAATTGTCACACTCAGGCAAGACCTATTGGAGCAGCCACGTACGTAATAACAAACAATACTCGATAGCTCCACGTAATAAAGACGGTATTAAAAGCTGTACGAGGTGCTAAATGAAGTATCCATGCAGTAACATTACAAGTAACTCGCCAAAGAAAGAAAAGGATAGGCAAGGCCATGGAAGCAATTCAACAAGATTACATCCATAACTTATGGATGCTCGTGTTTTTTAACAACTTAAGTTCTTTACAAAAATACGAGTGACACAACACGAACTTTTTTCCAATAGACACTGTTCCATTCCCTGTGCCGATACTACAAGATGTGCACGTCATTTGCTACTGCACACTACATCAGTTGCTACATTTTAAGAAAAGAAGAAAAGTACACCAAGCTTGATCTTTGTCTTGGCTGTTTTTTTCTTTTCTTATTTTGATGGATACTATTTTCGTATAAACTTGTTATTTCTTCTGCACTTGGAACTCGCAGCGAACCTCTATACACAATTCACTTTTCCCAATTTTCATTTGTTCCTATTTTCGTATACGTAACTTGTAGTATTATACTATTTGCAAGTTACATTGTCAATCATGTCCACTTATTAGGAATGCATGTCAAATATTAAAATGCAAATTAACAATCAAAGCTAACAAGTCCATGACATATGCATAAACAAATACCGAAGATCCTTCCAACTAATAATGTGTACGATAATCTACTAGATTCACTTGTACGACATCATCGACCAACAAATACAATCATCTAAATCCGTGCCCTACACTTGTTCCTAACTTCTCAGTGCACTCTCTCATAATGGCAGAAGACACTTCTTTCTAAGTTAAATGAACTATATGTACAAAATCAAAAATAAGAGAACCGAAAACTACCACTACTATACTTTTTATTGAGATCCATGATTAGGTAATAATTTAGATTTGTGAAAATAAGGCCAACTCAATCTCCTAAGTCTATTTACGAGCGTTTGTACCATTGTGGTGGAGCGTTTGTATCAAACCACCAATCTGCTTACATTATTTTCTGTAAAATAGAAGAGTCCTTAAATTACATGTCGAAAATAAATTTCTCCAAAATGTCAAATAATATGGGAAGGAGGGAGTAACAAATAGTGGCGGTTAAATTGCAGCTTTGCCTGGTTTTGTGGAATAAGTATTATTTCAAACTCATGTTTTAAACATAAATAAATTATTTAAAAATATAAGTTTTAATCATAAAAATGGAAAATATTTAATTATTTAATTTATTAAAACTTACATTTTCAATTTTGAGAAATTATACATCAACTATTAAATAAAATTTTAGGAAAATGATGAAAGAACATAAAAAAGCATAACTAGAAGGCTTGAACTTAATAGAATCGGGCAATTTTGAAATGTAAAGATAAGATAGCAGTAAAGGGTAAAATAGGAAATTATGTTGGATCAAGTATATCCATCCTTTGATAGAAAAGATGCCATAGCATATTCTAGTTATTTCACGAAATTTTAAATAATCAGGAATGCTACCGCATAATTCCTCTCAATTATCCATTTTAGAGTTAAAACAAAAAAAATGAGTAGAGAGCTTGTGTGAATTGATGATAAATGTGAGGATGTACATATAGCATTTGCAAAACAATTGGGCCATTTCAATATGCCCGTCGCTCAACGGTGACTCTACAACAGTTACCAGATCCTTGCTATAAAAAATAAAATTGAAACAAATAACGAGTGAATCGACGGTTCAGAGTTGATTTGGAACCAACAGTTTGACTGCAGAAGACAACAATCACTTAATAGTGACGATGATCTCCAACTGTCATCAAATACTGACCGTTGGATTTTAAAAAACTAAAAAGATTATTGAAATCGGTAATTAACTAACACGCTGGAAATACCGGTTCTCCAACATGCAACATGTCCACAGATAAGGAAACTACAGCAGGCTTATACTAGCCCATTAATCTGATTAAACAGTCAGTCGAACACGGGCTATTTCTGGTCGAACACGACCTAGAGTTTTGTCTAAGTCATCTTCGTTCTTAGATGTTCTCCAATTGTCAGAATGAGGGATCTAGAGTTGATGAATAATCTTTATGACATTAACACATAAAAAGAAGTGATAATTCACGTTTTTTATGCTGTGTTATCAATCGTACCATGTTTTTTGGTGATCTAATTTTTAACTGTGTCATACTTTTCACTTGTATGTTTACGTTGCATTGTTAATTAGAATACACTATTTTGTAAATTATTCAACTCAAACTCGCGTTACTACATATTTGTCCTTGTTTGATTATATTCTTATTAAATACATTACTTTACTAAGTCAAGTTAAAAAATTTATTTAACTACATAATTGTATTACCATGTCAACAAATTATAAGATAACCCTTAGTAAATGGAAAGATGTAGGTTAGTGAATAATAGAGACATTATTTTTGAATCAAAATATGAAATAGATGCTAGGTATTTTAGTTTTGGTGTAAAAGTTGCATCTTTCTTGTGTAAAAGCTCTTAATTTCAGTGTAAAGGGCTAAAATAGAAATGTGAGAGTTCACGCATTGTACACAGCATCCTACACCACATTGATGGTGAACGGAGAGAAAATGCAAGGCAAAACTAATTTTGGGAGGCGAAAAGATAACACAACAAAATGTCTGAGAGTAACTCGACGACACGCAACTTAGAACAAGGAACAAACATTGACAAAGTATTCAATTACAATCTGGATACTCAACCTAATGTAGAACATAAAGTAGCCATGTAAACATGCTCATAATCCATAAACGATTTTTAGCCTAATTCCACCGACGAAAAGATATTACAATTCAACAAAATAACTCAATTAAATATGAAAATCTTTACTAGTACATTACCTTTTGGGTGGATTTCCACAGCAGATTAGAGGGGATCCAACTCAGACACGTGTTGCAACGCCAGGCGCAGCAGCGGCGGCGGAGGAGGCGGCACCACCAAGGAAGGATAGAAAGCCAGAATTGGCAGGCTCCTGATCATCCAAAAACAAGTCCTCGGGCATTCGGAAGGAGCCATGGGCGCAAACCACAGCGAGACCCACAAGCAAAGCGGAGATGAGCAGTGATCCAACGCTAGTGAGGAACACCACAACTATTGTGGACAGCACCAGAATCCCCAGCATCTCCCGATCCGAAAAGGTGCGTCCACCAATCACGAGTGGCTGATCAGAAGGGCGGAATAAGTAGAGGAAAAGCCACGCCGCGAGCAGAGATAGTAGAACGAGGAGGGAAAATGGGTGAGTGAGGAGAGAGAGTGCGAGAGATAGGGCGAGAAGGGAGACGTAGTTAACGCGGAAATAGGAGAAGTTTTTGCGGATGCGGGAGGCGGCTTCGGAGAGTGTGTCGGGGCGAGAGAAGGAGGACCGGTCGATTAGCTCCAACCATGGGCGCCGCTGAGAGAGACCGTTGCGGACGGTGGCGTTCAGACGGGATATGAAGGCGCGGAAGGCTGGGGTGGCGATTGGCGGCTGAGATTCGGATTGGGGGTTGGATATCGGTAGCGTCGCCGGAGAGGCCATTGCTGATTTAGAGAGAGAAAATTGCCCTACGAATTGATTATTGGCCTCTCGGATTCAATTCTCACTCTCGCCCTCAGATTTTAATTTTGGGGGCGTTTAGTAATAAGTACTCAAGTGAGTAAGGTGGTGTTTGCAAATGCTTTTTAAAAGTGATTATGCGGTTTTTTTTTGCTCATAATCTGTGTTTTTACGTGTTTGCAAAATCAACTTTTGCTTTTGCTTCTTTTAAAATAATCTGCTTTGAGCTATTTTTTTAAAAGCACCCATAACTCTGTTTTTTTTATTTAACTTCATTTTTTGGAATATTTTGCAAACACCCCCAACTTTTAGAAATAAGCACTTAAAACTAATTTAAATCACTATCACCAACTTCTGCTTTTAAATAATCATTTGCAAACACCACCTAAGAGCAACTCCAATGCTAAATATCAAAATTGGATTATAAAATGTTCATTTGATATTTATGATAATATTTTAAAATATATTTAAAATTCATCTACTCCAACCATGGTAATCAAATTTTATTATCAATTGGAAGTCTTTTTATAATTTTATATGTAACTGCCACATGTCAATTTGTGATTGGTTGGTTAGGTGGTTATTTTTTTGTAACTCAATCTACAGGAAGTATTTTTAGATTCAAAGAGGTGAAATATCAAAATACAAATTCATTTTAATAACCCCTTGGAGAAGACAATTTTTAAATTTTAGGAGTCAAATGATAGTTAAGAGATTTGATGACTCATTTAATAACCCCATTGGAGTTGCTCTAAGAGTAACTCCAATAAGTTTTTTTTTTTTTGAGGAAAATGTGATAAATAAATTAGGCTAAATGCCTTAAGTCAGAGGGAATGGAAATACCCTCATTACATGAATAGCCAAGGTTCGTGGCAAAAGAGTGAGCTAAAACATTGCCCTTACGACGAATAAAAGAAAATATGCAACTAGAAAACGAAGAAGAAATCGAAATACATTCTTCGATGAATGCACCAAACGAAGCTGAAGTGTTCTCTTTGTTCTTGAGAAGGTTTATGACTGTGAGGTTATCTCCCTCCAAAATGATATTGGTCCAGCCTTGTCTCCGAGCCCAGACCATGGATGCAAGAGCTGCATGGGCCTCACAATCAGTGGGTGTTGGCTTCCCAGGAATGTGGCGAATGGCCCAACCAAGACATTGACGATCGTGATCCCTCGCCACCATGGCACATGCATAAAACGGCTTACCTGGAGGTAGAGCTGCATCAAAATTGATTTTGATGCTGCCCATTGGTGGAGCAGTCCAGGTAGACGGAAGAGAGGGGCAGGGCCCGTCGGTATGGTGCATATGGTGCGCTTGGAATAGGGACAAAAAATTCTCGCACCAGCTCAGCAACTCCGCAACATGGATGTCGTCGTGCCCATGCAAATGGTTGTTACGTAGTTGCCAGCTCTTCCATACAATAACAATCGCCAAATGGAATAAGTGGTCGTTCAAGTTCTGTCGAGTAAATCTGATCCAAGCCCAAAAGGACTCCAAGTGAGAGAAAGGTTGGAGATTAAATGGCGGGGCCTGCCAAATTCGGGACATTCCACTGCACTCATACGTTGCGTGCACCATTGTCTCTACTCGGCATCCACACCTTGCACACTCAGGGGTCGGAGTAATTCTTCGCCGAAACAACTCAGCCCCCGTCGGCGTAATTTCGGCACAAGCGCGCCATACGAAGTTTTTAATTTTCGGGGGGAGCTTCAACTTCCAAACCATCCTCCAATCCTCCGCCACTGTCCCACTACCATTGCCACCCGCTCGTCGTTGCGAAACACTTGAGTGCAACCTGTTATTGAGAGCATTGAGATAGCACGAGCGGACCGTAAACTTCCCGTTAGCCGAGTAATGCCACACCCATCTATCCTCGATCAATTCACTACCAATAGGGACGTGAAGAATCCTATCTCGATCCACTGGCCAAAAACATTGGTCAATGAGGTCAGCATTCCAACAATTCGAGTCTTGGTCGATAAGATCCACCACTAAATTTGGAAATGCAGAGTGCATTGAGCGTCGAGTAAAGACGTTGAAGTTCCCGTCCTCCATTAACCACGGTTCGCCCCAAATCGCCGTCGTTTTCCCATTACCAATTCTCTTACGCATCCCCGATAAAACCAAGGGCCGGGCCTTAAGAATACTTCTCCAGGTTGCGCTTGGTCGATTCCCAATTTGTGCTTGAAGAATGTCGCCCGACGGGAAGTATTTCGCTTTCATCACCCTTGAGATAAGAAGATCTGGTTCGGTAATGAAGCGCCACATTTGTTTGGCGAGAAGCGCCAAATTGAATAGCCTCAAATCCCTAAAACCCATACCCCCGATTGCTTTTGGTTTGCAAAGTCTCTGCCAAGATACCCAGTTCATCCCCTTGGATCCAGCCCTTCCCCACCAAAATTGCCTAATCAACAACTCCAAGTTTCGAATTAATCCTTCTGGTAATGCAAAGCAACTCATAATATAAGTGGGAATTGCTTGTAAAACCGACTTGATCATGATTTCTTTTCCCGCCTTCGAAAGTTGTCGAGCGCCCCAACCCTTGATTCGGCCCCATATTCTATCCCGAAGAAATTGGAAGATCTCCTTACGAGATTTCCCTAGTGATGCCGGCATCCCCAAGTATGTGTCATGTCTCTCCACTTCCTTGAAGCCTAAAATCTCCCTGATATGACCTTTGGTAGTTTCGCAAGTATGAGGGCTGTAGCACATAGTCGTTTTGGCCAAGTTGATTTCTTGTCCTGAGGTGCGAGCGTATAAGTCTAAAATATTTTTCAGTACGCAAGCATCTCCTGGATCGGCGCGACAGAACAGAAGGGTATCATCGGCGAAACAAAGATTGGTGATCACAGGCGCCTGTGGTGCAATACGGACTCCATGAAGTTGGCCACGAGAAACCGCCGTTTGAAGCATCGAGATCATAACTTCTGCACACAAAATAAACAATTATGGAGATAGGGGATCTCCTTGCCGAAGACCCCGGGATGGAGAAAGAGTTCCAAACTGCGAACCATTAAAGAGAAAAGAGTAAGAGACCGAAGAGACACACAACATGATAAGATCAATAAAATGAAGGGGGAAACCAAATCGAGCAAGCACTCTCCTCACAAAAACCCATTCAATGCGATCGTAAGCCTTGCTAATGTCTAACTTAATTGCCATATAAGACTCTCTACGCCCAGATTTAGTTTTAATAAAATGATTAATCTCGTAAGCAACTAAAACATTGTCTGTAATGAGGCGGTGGGGAACAAATGCTGATTGAGTAGGGGAAACGATGTCATTAAGAATAACCCTAAGACGATTGGTGATAATTTTCGATCCAATCTTGTAAATAACATTACATAGACTAATTGGCCGATAATCCGAGATTTTCTCGGGGGAGGTGACTTTAGGAATTAACACAATGAGAGTATAATTCAAAGCTCTAGGGAGTTTTTTATTATTGAGAAAATCTAAAACACAAGACACCACACTAGCTCCAATGACATGCCAAAAACGAGTAAAGAACAATACCGGGAGACCATCAGGCCCCGGTGATTTCAATGGAGCCATTTTATGAATGGTGTGGGTTACCTCAGATTCCGAGAAAGGAATGGATAGTAACTGAGCTGCTGTTGGAGTAATCCTCGGTTGCAGCTGGTCGAGCACCCCATCAATCTCACTCTCATCTGGCTCCGTAGACTGAAAAATGTGAGCGAAATAGTTGGAAATAATCCCCTCAATGGCTTGATCCCCGTCTTGCCAAATCCCCGAGTCATCTTTCAACCGCTCTACACGATTAGTTTTTTTCCTAGCAGAGGCTCGTGAGTGAAAAAACTTGGTGTTTCTATCTCCTTCTTGAATCCATTGCACTCGACTTCGTTGCCGCCAATACTCATTTTGGTCTCCATATACCTTTTCGAGTTCTTTTTTAAGAGAAAGGATCATCTCTTTTGTCTCCAAAGTTTGGACCCCCCTTTTTAACTCCTGAATCTTTTTATCTAACTCGTTAATCTGTTTTTGCGGGGCACAAACATTTAATTTGCTCCAATGAAGCATAGCAACACGGCACTCGGCCGTTTTCATGAGTAAATCCTCCATCGGATCGGCTAAGTGGGAAGAGTCCCACACGTTCTTAATAACTTCTTCACACTCATCTCGGCGGAGCCACATAGATTCGAAACGGAAAGGTTTACAATGTCTTCGTCGTAGATAATTCGAAGTCGGGCAGAGAGTGAGCATTATGGGGCAATGATCCGACCCTGCTGCCGTAAGATGTTGGACTTTAGCCGAAGGGAAGAGCGCCGACCATTCCCCGTTAGCACAGAACCGATCAATCCTACTTCTAATCGTGTTGGGCACCTCCCTGTTATTGCACCACGTATACACCGGCCCCTCAAATCCAAGATCGCTGAGATCACAATCAATCAAACATCTGCGAAATTCTTCAATCTGGTAAGGGAGTCGAGGAAGGCCACCCTCCTTTTCGGAGTTGCACAGAATCTCGTTATAATCACCACCGACGAGCCATGGTAGAGGGGAGAGATCACGAAGTTGGCGTAGGAGGGTCCATGAGTCCCGTCGCCGCTGAGTTTCTGGGAATCCATAAAATCCCGTACAACGCCACTTAACCTCTTTTTCCGAATTCTCAACCACCACATCGATGTGGTTCTTAGAGAATGATAAGAGCGTAACATTCATATCCTTTTTCCAGAGTAGAGCAAGGCCACCGGACAAACCTTCTCGATTAACACAAATTCCATCGTAATTCCAACGCCCTTTTAAAATATCCACGAACCGAGGTGTTGATTTCGTTTCCGAAATGAACACCAGTGAGGGGTGAAATTTTCGAAGCATCGCTCCGATTTCGTGAATTGTCAAGGGACCCCCCAACCCTTGACAATTCCAGAAGAGGCAACTCATGGATCTCGGCGGGGCTGCCCCGAAGCCTCCGCCGTTGGAGAAATGTCCTCGTCCAAGAGACGAAGATACGCACGTTTCGGTGTGCGTTCCGTATCAAGCACCATCAACTCATCTGCCTTCTTCTTCCTTCCTTTGTTAGAGACTTTCAGGAATTTCCTTTCCACCGCA